TGCTTATTTTCGGGTATTTTACAAAATTTGGTGGTGCTTAATTTCGGGGGGTGCTTAATTTCGGAACTATACGGTATATAGGTAGATGCAAAAACCCCAAAAAGTATGAAAAATTTGTTAAATAATGAACGGGTAAAAAAACTTGTTGCAGTCTATCAAATTTAAGATGATAATTAAATTTATAGTTATGTATTAAAAAAGAAAAAAAAATTATATATATATATATATAAATAGTTAAGCAATTGCGCATTTCTTGTAATTATATAATAACGAAAGTTTATAAAGTGAATATTTTTTTTTAAAAATTTAAATTTTAGTCTCAGCGCCAATGTTTTAAAAAGTTTTTAAAACATCTAAAAAACTGTTTAAACCATGTTTTTTCATCCCCAGCACCACATGCGGATATTGTAAAAAATCAATTTGAAATTCGCGATCTTGGTCATAATAAAGAAAAAGAAGCGGTATTTCCTTTTCGACAAAGAAGATAATGAATATCGATTTGAGGTAATCAGCAAAGGCAAGAAAGTGGAGTTTGAAACCGGTTTATTTTTCATATGCTAAAACCAGTTAAAACCGGGTTTAACATATGAAAAATAAAACTGTCAGATACGACCGTAAAATATCTGGTTCGACGAAATCGAGAGAAACCGATATAATCGATACCGTGGTAATCAAAATTAAACGGTTTGTTTTCATTCGAAGTACGAAAAACCGTATGTTTGGTCGCAAATCGTTTAATTCGGTCGAAATGAAAGATGGATTTAAGTTGAAACGAAGACTTCATAATCTTTCAGATGTTGCTGAAGTCTTTGAACAATATCGTATTGTTCTTTCACATAATTAACGTTGGGTAACGTAAGCAAGGATAGTAATAAAATTTTAGATAATCGTGTAGGTGTTTACTAACAAAATCATCAAATCGTTTGTTGTAATATTTTGGTCTGTTCGATTCAGACCAATAACGAACGGTTACAAAAAACGGGGTTTCTCAACGAAGTGTAGATAACTATTACAAAATCTGTATTATGATTGGATGATGGTTGGACATATATAGTAATACATGACAAAAGTTATGTCACATGAATTGTGCAAAGAAAAAATGTGTTTGTGATCCTGTATTGTAATATATTACATCGTCAATTTTCAATTGACACGTGTTATTTTTCAATCCTACTGATTGAAAAATAAACTTGGGTGATTTTAAATCAGTAACGGTAATAGTAATGATAACGTAATACTGTTATACGTATAAATAAACGAAATTTTAAATAAATGAATTTTTTGGAACTTTTTTCTCAAGAAACCAAAGAATAGCTTTTCTAAATTTTTTTTTTAATGTAATAAATATTATATTAAATAAATTTATCAAATAAAAATAAATTGCTTACTTTATATAATTTTAAACACGTTCTTTTTATAAAAAATTCATTAACCCTTACCGGCGATGATAAGGAATCGAGTGAAGCCAATATAGTGACCGGGTTAGTGCTAGTGCTTAATAAAAAGATGAGAAAATGTATAATTTATTTTGAGATCTGAAAGCAATGGTGATAAGGATGAATTCGGAGCTGGAGAAGCCGGCAAAAGTTGGATGGATGAGTTTGAGACAAAATTTCTCAAGGAAGCTGGATTAAAGCTTCCTAAAACATTAAAAGGTATGCTGCTTTATCTTTAAAGGATCAAAAAATGTATTCTGAAACCGAAAGGCTTAATTCTTTTCTAATTTCGGGAAAAATTAAAAAATTAAGTGAAGGTAAATTTGAAGAATGGCTTCGATCCACCATTCATTCACATTAAAAAAAAAAGAGTGGAGGTTGATATCATTGAATTTTTCAAAAGCTTCGATCTTGAAGTTATTCATTGTGGGTGAGTTTTTTCACAAGTATTTGTTGAGTTATCATATATCCGAAGTTACGCTGTCCCATCGGTGTAAAATATCTGAGAAAGAATTGAAAGCTCTTCGTGGCCTATGTTTCGACATAGAACGTTCTTCTTCTTAGTTACTTGATGTTCTTGCGGTCGTATTGCCTACACGGGGAATTAATGGATGAATAGGATATATGCTAATTAATGAGCACGTCACCGTAGACTATTCCGGCCGTGCAATATTTAGTTGTTAATAATGATGATACGTGTACTAACATATTATCATTTATAGGCAAAGTGGAGATGGTGGTGTCGATATCATTGTTACAATCCAATGTAAAAATTGGTACAATAATATAGGTAAATTTATTACATTAATTTTATTATAAAATAAAATATTTATTTTAATTTATTAATTAATTAATTAATTAATTAATTAATTACAGGGCCAGAAACAATTAGATCTTTAAGAGGGGTGATGTGTTTGGAGGAAAGAAACAATGTCCTTGGTGTCGTAGTTGGAAACAAGTTTTCGAGTGGTGCTGTTGAGGAAGCAGAAAAGTCGAAAGAATACCCTATCATCCTTACCACTAAAGACCGTATCCCTACAACTTACTTTCATACTCGACCGTAAAACCCCCTTTAACTACCTTCATTCTTTTCCTTTTAACTATCGTCATTCTTTTTTCATTCTTATCGACTTTTCTTTTTAACTATCGTCATTCTTTTTTTAAACTAAAAACCGTCCTATCAAATTTTCCTTTTATATTTAACCATTAATTCGCTTCAACTATTGTCATTACTTTTTTTTTAAATTACCTATGGGGTACCTGAGCATTGACCTCCACGTGTTGTATCCTGGATTGTAACTCTTTTATCTTATCTTATTTTATTTTGTATAGATATATTTTAATAAATGCATATAATCTAACATGTTCGATTTATTGATAAATACTAATTGTGAATAGTGAGGTGTCCTAAACGAAAGTTAACCAAATAACTAAAGTTGTCATCAGAAAAATTAACACTGAACCGAAGCTTTATTTGTTTAAATGCAAGCTTCTATAATATACTGCTTTGTATTAGGGATTGGAACCGCCAAAAATTATGCTGGTAATTAATCGCGTCGCCTGATTATGAGTTACACGGATCGCTTAACCGTTTATTAATCGTTTAGTCATTTGGCCGTTTAACCGTTGTTGGCCGTTTAACTGTTTGTTAATCGTTTAACTGGTTAGCCGTTTATTAGTCGTCATAATCATTTATTAATCATAAATCGGTTAATCATACTATCAATACATAAATACATTCAGTATTAGCGACACCAAAAATTTGCGTTACATATATTATTTATATTGCATTAGTGAGAGAGACTATTAATTAGCACATTTATGTCTCTATAATATAACCAGTAAAAGAAACCATCGTAATTGAAATTATAGAACCTTGACTACATACTCTAGATCATTTAGCACTGACATCTAAAAACTGGTATACTAAGTCTTCGCTCTTAGTATTCTTTGATGAAAATCGGAAGGTTTTAAAACGCTGTAAATGTGCGAATAGTATTGCAACTTTTACTTCAACATATAGTTATTACGAATGTTTAATGAAGATCAGAGTATATGTTGTAGGTGGGAACAGAGTTTAAGTCGATTCGGAATTTTTAAGGTTAGGGTTGGGATTTTTAGTATAATTATTCCGTTCTAATCCAAACCTATTATGATTCATTCCAACCTACAACATATGCACATATTCGTAATCGTAACATATGTACCACAAACTTCTCATTAGTCAACATATAAATATGTAAATTGTATGTACGTACGTACGTACGTACGGATTTCGCACAAATGTTAAGACACTGACATCTATGACTTAAACTGTTCTTGGAATGTTAGATTATGTAGTGCTTCGCTATAGCATCTCTGGGAACTTTCAAGCTGACCACCAATTTAGTTTTTTAAATCAATAATGATTATTGGTTTATATTCAAGGAGAAGGAAGTGCCTGTAGAGATACCTTATAAAAAAAGTTTGTATTTATTGTAGGCATTGCCCAAAAAAATGGTCGAGGCGAGTTGATTTTCCGAACAGGGTTTATGTTTGTACGGGATGTAAAAAAATATAAAAATTTTGATTGAAAATTATTGTATAAAAAACATATGAAAAGCGCATTCATCCAATAAACATCCTTTAAATGTTCGAAACGGAGTCGATTTTCTGAACAAAAAATCGAATAATTTCAGTTTTTTTTTTATAGGAATATGCTATTTCAATACTTCACAAAAAATGTTGGGGTAGCGATCCTGTCAATTATCCAGAACAAAATTAATTTAAAATTACAGTACATATTAATGAAACTTTGAGTCGACACCATTGTAAGTCTTATTAAAATAACGAAACTTATACAAGTTATCTGGGTTTATACAGTAGATTCTCGCAATAGTCACATGCCAAAATTAGATGATTTATGTGCTTATTGTGAAATTGTGACTAATACGGGTAAAAATATAATATATAATATATTATAAGAACAAAAATTTAAGGTGATTATAGCGAGATTGTGACTATTTCGAATGTGACTATTGCGAGAATCTACTGTACAGCTTGTTTTTTAATAATATTTATATATATTTATGCATTGTTTATATCTATGTGAAGCACTAAACGGGTTACTAAATGATTAATCGCATAAATTTTTAAAAACGGTTGAACGAATAATTTAACGGTTTTTAATCGTTTATAAATAAACGATTAAAGGCGGTTAGACGAATAACGGTGCCAATCTCTACTTTGTATTTTATTTTGCACTTTATTTTTATTTTAAAATTAATAAAGCTGGCCCTGGTGGTTCGATTTCGTATACATAATTGTGTTTACTTTTGCGTGTGTATTTCGTTATTGATATTTTCTCTTGGCAAAAGTGATCGGCGTGAACAATTTGTTCACGCACATTTTTTTTATTTGAAACAAGCTAAAGGTTCTTTAGTTATTAGATCAACTATTTCAATGTTTCATCTGATTCACAATAATTTGCTTTTTTTATATTTTACAATTTATATTATATGTATAAATTAATAAAACTTTTATAGATTTTACTACGATTTTTGATTGTAATTTTCAATGCAGCTTCGACAAATATTAATAAAAACTTTGTTGTCGGAATTATAACTTGAGTCAAATGTTTCTTTAATCTAGTTAATAAATTCTTGTCCATCGGATTTTTTTTATTAGAACTTTCTCGTGTAACTTATTATTATGAAAGCTTATATTTAGATCCCTTTTATGTTTGTTATTAAGGTCTGTTGGTTGGCAAGAACAACCTTCATTATAAATTTTCGTATAGACTAACATACAAAACATACTGGACATGTATTTGTTAGACGTCACTTTCAAATTTCCGTCAATTAAAAATTGACGTACGTAGCTTCGAAATTGTAAATTAAAGTACTTCATATTTTAATATGATTTTATCGATTAAAAAAAAAACAAAAAACAAAAATTCGCAACGCAAATCAAATTATTTTTATTAATTATTGTATTCAACTTCCATTACGATTGTTAAAATCCACATGCTGAAGATTAAACAACCGCTAAGCGCTATATGATTTTTGCATGTACCTCGGCGAATACAACCATAACGAAAAGTACTAAGAGCATTGTTCTTACGACAAGACAACTCCTACTTTCATTATTATAATGACAGGCATCATTTTTCTTTAAACCTTGTTCAGTTTCCCGGTTGGATGTTTCATTTGTAATATTTATGGTTTTGGAAATTCATCAGTACCTAAGGGTTCTAATTCGTTTGCTGAAAACCATCTATCCAAAATTCCAAACTTGCTTCCAACTTGATATGAGTCACAATGCTCGTCTATCCATTTTTAGCCTATCAATATCACCTTTACGAGATCACCAGGTTTCAAATTTAACACACGTTTTTTAGTTTTATATCGTTTTTCCATTAAGATTATAAATTATTTGACAGTTCTGAATAACATGTCGATTTGCTACCGCGATTATGTTTATCAGATTTACCATCGATACTTCCAATTTAAAGGTATTAAAGAACCCAATATTTTAAGTTCGAATTTTCATGTTTACTTGGACGCGTTTCATAAAATAGCCAGGCAACGATTATACTTTAAACGATTCATTATATGTCTTTCGTTTTTTCTATTGTTCATGTAATCATACCGAATTTTTTGAAAGCTTTGAAATGAAAGAAACAAAAAAAACTAGCGAAGAGTTTGAAGCCATATTATAGAAGATAAAATAACAACGAATTTTTTTTTTATAATCAATCTAATTTATTAAACTCTTATGTATCTGATATCAATCAGTATAATTTTTAAAACTACGTATGTTACATTTTAATCGGTATAAATTTTAAACTCAGGTACGTTAATTTTGAATTAACGGTTATTTAAGAGCAACGTACAACATATTCAAGTGAAATCTTAATTTTGAATACGTTAACTTTCCTGTAAAAAAAAAAAAAAAAAAGTTTAAAACTGCCGTGAATAGACGTGTATATTATGAGACTTATTATGAAAGCAAGTACTTCACGATCTCTAAGTCTTTTATATTTCTTAAACCGTGGTCAACGATCAGTACCCATACATTCACGCCATACCAACCTTCGAGGTGTGGCTTTTGTAAGTTTTTATCAGTATCTTCATAATCGGTTAGGCTTAAAATAAAATATGTGGACGTATTAATCTTAATATATATCTATATCATAATATATACTGTACTAGAAATACTTACAATTTCCGCATGACAAGTTCTGCCCATTCGAGGTCGTAATGGTTTTTTCTATTATATGTTGTTCTGACCTGAAAAAAAGGTGTTATTATTCTATATAATTAACGTAAAACCTCTACACTTTCAACTTACGTTTGTCTCATTAGAGGTTTTGCAAACAGTTCATCAACTCTTGGTAGTTCATTCCACAGGTCTTCAATTTTGATCCAGGAATGTAAAAGAACTTCTTCACTTAGTTTGTTACAATAGTTATATGTGTTATCTTCAACACATGTTCCAGTTGACATCATTTTCTTCCATTTTATTATAGGACTCATGGAGATTTTTGAATTTTGATGGATTTTGGACAATACCACGAAATAAAAATATTGTATGAACACGACGCGTGGGATATTTATACATCATTTATTACAGTATTATGCCAAAAATGTGCGCACGTGAAAATAAACACTGTACATACACGTGGCTTTTTCTAAAAACACAAAACATGCCAATTTTAATAATACTGTAAATGCAGTATTTTTTTTAATAATTATAGAATATTGATGGTCATTGACGAAGCAAAACTAGAAAAAAAAAGTGAAAAACTTGAAAATAAAAAATAACAGTTTAAACCTACCTTGGGTAAGTTAAGTAAAAATGTTGGGAAGGCAATTTTGCTTATGTATAAGTACCTAAAACCTGCTTTAACCCTCATCCAAGATAACTATAACTCTAAAGTTAATTTGATAAAATATATATTATAAAATCTACTCTGTTTTAGACGTCCCCAAAAATAGAAATTTTTTAAAAAATAAGCTCGCATTATGGTAAAAAATTACAATAAATCAACGTAATTTACGAGCACATCAGTCAGGGAGTTGTGGAATTATTACTAAGAGATATCACAGAATTATAAGAATTTAATCGTATTAAGTCGCAGGAATTACAAGAGATAGAATATGCCAAAAACACATCACATTACATCACAGAAATTTAATTAATCACACACCAATACGTACGTACGTACTAATATAATAATAGTTTGTTACACCAAATTTTAACCGTAATTTTTTCAAAAAAGCTATAAGCCTTGTTTTAATTGACGCAGCCCCATATAACTTTTGAGTATTGGGTCTTTTGATCGAATTTTGAAAATCTATGTTAGCCAAAGGAAAAATAAACATTGATTAATCGATAGGATAGGTGTTTGAATATATTAAAAAAAATCCAAACCTTCATATAATTTTAAACACGTTCTTTTTATAAAAAGTTCATTAACCCTTACTGGGCATCCATCCATCTGATAGCAAGGAATCGAGCAAAGCCAATATAGTGACTGAATTAGTGGTAGTGTTTAATAAAAAAGATAGGAAAAATGTATAGTTTATGAATTCGGAGCTAGAGAAGCTAGAAAAAGTTGGATAGATGAGTTTGGGACAAAATTTCTCAAGGAAGCTGGATTAAAACTTCCTAAAGCATTAAAAGATATGCTGAGAAAATGATGATTCTAATATTTAGTTTACTTTTGAGTAAATACTTTGTGATGTCTTTAAAGAAATCAACAAGACATTTTGAAACCGAAACCGCCACTGTTGAAGTTTTGATTGAACAAACAACTTATATAAAAGGCTTAATTCTGTTCTAATTTCGGGAACAATTGAAAAATTAAGTGAAGGTAAACTCGAAGAATGGCTTCGATCCATCACCACTTTATTCTCCACTCACATTAAAAAAAAAAAGAGGCAGACTGGGCTGCTCTCGAGTTCGTTAAACTCCTACTTTCAAAAAATATAATTACATTTGGTCGAGAAAATTATGGTTACCAAGTGCAAATGATTCACTTTCATTAAGTTACTCGAATGAAGGATCTTGGTTTTCGCATACTATTTATATTACTATATAGCCTCTCATCCTACAACCAAAGAAGACCATAAACGTTGTAGTGGTTCCTGATGAGAGAGGTTTTACATTTAAGTGTGTAGAATGATCAATAATCTCGATACATCATATTATTCTCACAACAAAAAGTAATATTTGCAGGGATATTAAAAACACTGGTCAAATCATTTATTTCGTTTCTTGCTGCAAATATTTTTAGATTTCTTTTGTTTGTACTAATTTGGTCACTTTATTTGTTTGTATGTATTTAAAATATTTGTAATGGGTTTTTCTAAATATCTCTGGCCAGAGATATATAACTTATATATCTCTGGCCTATTGACCAATCAAAACTATAGAA